GACCAGATATCTAAAGAGACCTACCATAATTGTCATGAAAATTTGAATATTGTAAAAGCTGTGAATTCACCCTGAATAATCCCTGTGGGCTATTTTTGAAAATGTCCAAAACTCTTCTATAGCTGAAGGCATTAATATATCAAAATAACCAGGACTATTTTGTAAGAGATAAATAAAGAGTCAATGTATTACAAAGCCATAACAATATAAATAACCCACTACTGATGTTAGCACTAATGAACAAATTAATGGAATGGAATTAGAACACAAACTCAAGCAAATATGCTAAAGATGTCATTTCAAAGAATATATAATGAAAACCAATAAAGGGAATTAGAATAACTGGATAATCACTTGGTGAAGATGTTTAGATGTTGATATAAAAACCAAAATAAATTCGAGATGAAGAATTTAAAAGTGAAAATGAAATTATAAATCATCTAGAAAAATTCAAAGAAATATTTATATAATGTTGAATCAGAGAAGACTTTTCTATGCAAAAAACAAATCTGAAAGACAAAAGGAAAGATCTCCTAGACTTGAATATTTAAAATGCTAATTCATTCGTATATCAAACTAAAATATACTGAAAACTTTCACTTACTAGATAGTAAAAATATAACTTCTATGTTAGTAAGATTATGGGGGAAAGGTGCTTTCATGCATTATGAGCATGAGATATTTTGGTATAAATCTAACAAACATGTACATAGGAAATGTATAGTTAAAAAAGAAATCCGAGAAAACTTAAATAAATGGAGAGACATACTACAGTCATAAGTTGGAAGGTTTAGCATAGTAAAGTATTAAAAATGTGCAGGGCTATTCAGGTACCAAACTACCTTCACAGGAACTAGAGAAATCAGGAGAGAGACTATAGTGCATGGTTTTACTGTAACAAAGAGAAAAGACACATTGAAGAGGCAGGAAGAAAAGGGTTGTACGCATCACCCCTTCAAGCAGCCCAACTCTGAAAGACAAGCTTCCCACTTGGTAGAGGCAGAGAGAAGAAAGTACTGGCTTTAGGCTTGAAATCCACTAGCAGGTTTGCTATGGTAAAACTGCTGGGCAGCTTGCTTAGTATTTCTGGAAAAACAGGCACAAATAAAATAAGATTAAAAGGCTGTAGTAAATATCAAATCCTTCAGTATCCAGATGACTTCACATGCCAATAAGCATAAGGATTTTTCAGGAAACCATTACCTTACTTAATACTCAAAATACAATTGCAGAAACTGACCAAGGAAATAAATATGGAAGAGCTTTCATATTAAGAATTTAAATAGCTGTTTTAAGAAAGTCAATGAGCCCGAGGAAAACAAAGAGGAATATTTTAATATTCTAGCAAAGAAACTTAACAAAGAGATGGAAACAATTTTTTTAAATCACACAATTTTTTAAAATGAGAAAATGAAAAAATGGAAATAAAGTATTTGTAAATAGGGAAGGGAGGAGGGGATGAAGGTAAGACAGGGATAAAGGGAAAAAATGAGAACCAAGACCTGTCGTGTAAAGGTACAAGACCCCAATGATAAATGTAACTGTACTGTATACCTGAAATGTACCAATAAACTCAATGAGAAAAAATTTTTTTTAAATCACACAAAATTTTGAGCTGAAAAATATACTCAGTGAAATTAAAATTTCAGAAATTAAAAACTGAGAAAGAAGGCATCAACAGCAGGGCAAATAAAACAGAAGACTTGGTATGCTCAAAAACAGGCTATTCGAAAATCCACAGAGGAGCAGGGCGTGGTGGCACACGCCTGTAATCTCAGCACTCAGGAGGCTGAGGCAGCAGGATTTCTGCGAGTTCAAGACCAGTCTGGGCTACCTAGTGAGTTCAGGGCCAGCCTGAACTATAAAGAGAGAACCTAACTCACAAAAACAAAAGAAAAAAAGAAAAGATACATGGAGGAGAAAAAATGAAGAGCAGTGAAGAAACCTTATGGGAACTTTGGATTAATATTAAAAGAGCAAATATTAGGGTCACCGGGGTTCAAGAACTTGAAAATGCCAAAATAATAGAAATATTATTCAAAGAAATAACAGAACACTCCCCAAAGGGATGCAATAACCAGGAACAGGAAGGAAAAATGTCACCAGTGAAGTTTAATTTAACCAAATCTATCCCCCAAAACGTCTTATAATCAAGTTCTCAAAGATAAGATAGAAGAGAAGATTCTTATGGCTCCAAGAGAAAATAAATATAATGCACAGGAGTGTCCCAAATTGCCTGACAGGAAACTTCTCAACAGAAGCCTTATAGACCAGGAGAAAGTGACATGAGATTTTTAGTACCAAAGGAGGGGAAAAACTGTCAATCAAGAATACTGTTCTTTGCCAGAGATTTAGCTCAGTGGTTCCACCGCCTGCCTTGCAAGCGCAAGGACCAGAGTTCAATCCCCAGTAACAAAAAAAAAAAAGAAAAGAAAAGAAAAGAAAAAGAATACTGTTCTTCTAAAGCTATCCATTAGAAATGAAGGAGAAATGCATATTCTAGGACAAGCAAAAACAGAACTAGCCTATGATCCAACAATTCCACTTGTGTACATATCCAAAATAAATGAAGTCAGTAATCTAAACAGACATCTTCACTTCAACGTTCACTGCAATTGCCAAGAAATGGAAACAACCTAAGTATCCATCAACCAAGAATGGATAAAGAAAATGTGTTGTATATATACCATGGAATATTGTTTGGCTATAACAAGAATGAAATCCTGTCACTTGCAGCAACGAGGATAGACTAGAAATCATTGTGGTAAATGAAATAAGCCAGGCACAGAAAGACAAATACTGCATAATCTCACTCCCATGAGAAATCTAAAAAAGTTGATTTCATAGAAGTTGAGACTGGGGAGAGTAAGGGTAGAGGAGGGATGGGGAAATGTGGATCATTAAGTGCTGAATTACAGTTGGATAGGAGGAAGTTCCTGTGTGCTGTTGCACAATAGGGTGACTGTAGGTAACAAAAATAAACTATACACTGCAAAAAACTAGAAAGGATTTTGAAAGTTTTCACCATACAGAAATAAATAAAGAAATTATACTTCACAAAATTATAGACTATATCCATGTATTGATAAATAATAGTTCTCCTTTAATATGTATAATTTTATGTTTTATCAGTTAAAAATAAAATTTAAAAAGGAATGAATCACTGATAATGGCAACAATTTAGATGGATCCCAAGGGAATCATAGTAAGTGGCAAAAGTCAATCTCAAAACACTATGTCCTAGCTGGGCGTGGTGGTACATGCCTGTAATCCCAGCATTTGGGAGGCTGAGAGTGGAGGATCACTACAAGTTTGAGGCCAGCCTGCACTACAAAGACAGACTCTGTTTCAAAATTTTTTCCAAAAAAAGACTGTGTCCTGTGTGACTTCATTTATACATTTGTGAAGTGAAAAATGTATAGAAATAGAGAAAAAATTGTCAAGGACAGAAAGGTAAGGGGAAGGAGAGCTGTGGCTATAAAAACGTAGTATATAGGAATTATTGTGGTGATAGAACAGTTCTGTATCTTAACTGTGGTGGTGACTACAAAGTTTACACATGTAATAAAATATACTAAAATACATATTAGTACATATTAACATGGTTTATGCAGCTTTATAAAAAATATGTATGCCTAGGTCACATCCCCACAATTCTAATTAAATCTGGGATGGGACTTGGGAATCTATGACTTTGAAGTATACCTCTAGTGAATAAACATTAAAGATAAGGAGATAATATCATGCATACAAATATTAATAGTGTTTGAAGTGTTAGGATCACAGGTAATTAAATTTCTTATTTTGTTATAATAAATATGCTTTTGAGCAATAAAAATAACAAAAATCTTTAAAAATCCAAACAAACTCCAACATTAGTCTGATAGAAATCTCAGAAACGATCAGCAAACACACACACACCCACACCCACCCCATTGCCTCCCATAGAACTGAGAATTGACTGCAAGACCTTCACACTGAACTAGAGCTGAGCTACAACCCTTTATTGAGACAGGCTCTCCCTATGTCATTAAATTGAGCATGATGAGCTCAAACTTGGGATCCTCCTGCCTCAGCCTCCTAGGCCAAGATTACAGGTGTGCCCCACAACACAGAACTATGATTACATATATTTGGGTTCTATTTCACTTATTAAATATTTACCCAATTTTTACTCTTAACTAATTTCCACTGTCTATCATTTTCATAAGATGAGAGACATGTTCATATTTTCTTGATGTCCAAATATACTGTGTCTACCATATTTCCCTTTTCTGTCTCCCCAAAGTGAGCCCAAACCATTTCTCTGGTACTCAACAAACCATATAAAACTATACCAGTGGTACCTTTTCTTTCCAATTATGCAGTAAGACTGACATGGCATATGCGGACTATGCTTTAAGTTTCCTTGCAAATTCCATAGCAATTCATTCAATTCCCATTCAACAAAGATTTACTGATTCCCTAATATGTGCCAGGTACTATTTTGGGTTCTCTTTCCCTACTACAAAATAATAATTAAATATTCACAGCAGTATTCTCTTGGTTTCTATCCCTGGACGAACAGTTACCTGTCAGGTCTGCCGCACTGCCCTTCCTATTACCCATTCCACCCAAGCTTGAAAGACCTTGTCATTGACCCCATTCCAAATCCTTAGATTGGACTAGTGATTTACAAGAATTTGAAAATAGAACTATCAGACTATTGCTGACTTTTTGGAAAAGGTCTCTCCTTTGACTAGGTTCTCACAGTATTTTATTTATAATACTCTTAAGGTACTTAGAATTCTACAGTGTATTATATTTACTTATCTGTATTATATTTACTTATCTGTATATCATAATTTCCCCCCTAAATAATAAGCTGTTTCAGGGAAGGAACTATGTCCTTTTCAGCTCTGTAAATCTAGTGAATTCTTATCAAGCTTTTTCTGGAGGAGCTGAATAATTAAGCAAGAAAGAAAGTAGCATCTCTTTAAGGCAAAAGCTGTCAGTCTTACCTGTATTTCCACCAACCAGTCCACAAGAATGGCCCTCATGTCACTGGTGATCTCAGTCTGCCTTTTCATGTAATTTTTAAGAATGAAATTTTTCTGGCATCAATGAGAAGGAAAGATTAATAAATTCTTTGTGTAGTTCAAAATTGTAACTTAATAATTAACTTCTCCCCCACGGTTCTAATTCATTATTTTCAGCTGGTATAAGATAGGGGCTGATCAAAGTCTTTTTCCAGACAACTTCAAGTTATCCTTGGGAAAGTGGACACGCTAATATTCAAGTGTCAGAACTGACATTGAGGAATCCAGGGCACTAAGGGTAGGAGCACACCTGTGGCTATAGATAAATGCCAAAAACCTTCTGCCTCTTCTTTGCAATTCAACTTAACAAGTAATACCCAGCATGAAAAGCAGTTCTTTTCAGACTTTAATGTAGGCTGGTTTAATTTAAGGCAGGCTTTCAAGACTCCTAGGGATCTCAAAAAACATCAGATTCTGATTTAAAAGATCTAGAGTGGGATTATATTTCTGCATTTCTTGCGAGATCCCAAGTGAAACCAATACTGCTAAGCCGAGAGTTACATTTTTAGGAAAACAAAGTTATCTCACCTTCTCTAAGATACAAATAGTCCCAAACTTGTAATGGTCAACTTAGCAGTTTTTCGACATTATGGTGGTATGAAAGCAATATACATTCAATAGAAACCATACCAAAGCCTGATAAAAATTGTACTTGGTAGATAATATTGCTATTTTCTATTCCACTGAGAGAGACAGAAGAAAATTTGGAACTGATGAATACTGGTGGTAAAGGAGACTGGAAGATTTGAAAGGAAAAAGAAAACTGCACAAGGTTAGAGAGCTGAAATGAAAGGTATAATTTTATATATAGTGCAAGAAACATTCACAAAAAAGGAAATATCGAAAAATAGCCACACAGCAACAAACTACTTGGCCATTTCTGTATCTGAGACTGTCTCATTAGTACCTAGAGGTGCAAGAATATGATCAAAGATAATCAGATTTTAGTCCCTATGCCAGCTGTACCATATATTAGTTGTATGACTTAAGGAAGTTTCCCCTGTATGTAAAAGGGAGATAATAATGCCTATCATCATGAAATTATTGGGAAAATTAAACAAGATAATGTCTACAAATCCCTTAATACAATGTCCAACAAGCTATCAATAGATGTTAGTTATTGCTATTACTGTTTCTTTCACCATCATTATCTTGCCTTCCAACTTGCATGCTAAAGAATGGAATAATGAGGAAATTAGAACTATAAATTATTGCCCATCTTCAGCTACCTACATACCTCTCTGTCTTTCAAGTAACGGAAGATTTCCGGAGCATATACTGAGCTGAGAAATGGATCATCGTGGTCCTTGCCAGTATCTTCCAGTATGGTCATCTGCTTGGAAACCATCAAAAACATATTAGAAATGAGTCCAAGGAAAGCTCATATACATTAAGAATGACGCTATTCTCCCCCATGCCCCATTTACTTATACTAAGGTTCCTCAAGGCTCATGTATCCTGAGCTACCCAGAGCACCCGACCATAGAATTCCCCATATTATACAATGATCCAGAAATACCTAATATATGCCTGCTCTGAATAGAAACAAGGCATCCTTTTATGGGTCAGCTCAACTCTCTAAGAAAGACATTCTTGTTTTATTATTTCAGTTAGGTCACCTGCCTTCTTAAATTCCCAATGCTTTGATCTAGCCCAGTTCATCGCTTTTTCCTCCCTTCTATAACTTTATTCTGGTTGTTTTGCCTCAAAGAGGGATATTTCTCTTAACTGCTTGCTAAATTTCATTCCTTTATCCTTCTAATTTACAACTTAAAGGCCACTTTCCTTGGGAAATGCCCATGTGAGCTTTGCCCATCTTTCACTGAAGTTCATGTGATGCTAAGTGAAATTACTAAGAAAAATAATCCCCTGAATGAAATTATCTAACCATTATTGCAAAGCCAAAGTACACAGCTCAATATTCCAGACCCTTGTGGATATAAATACTTTCTGATAGGCTAGGTATATCACTGTGCTCATCAGGAAGTCAAGATATTCTATAAGGCCAGTTTGATATAAAAGAAAAATGCCAAAGTCCCCACTAAATTTATCCCATATTGCAGATAACCACAGCCTATAAAAATCAGAAGAGATTATTCTGCATTACCTATCTTTAAATAAAACCAAAAGTAAACCCAAGGACTATCCCCCTTCTTGCTAGGTAGAGGGATCTCCCATAACTTATTATATATAGCTCAAGGGCCTAGGAAGGCAAAAGAAAAGACCTCTTTGGGCCTAGGGATATAACTCAGTGGTAGATTGCTTTGCATATGTAAAGCCTGGGGGTTAACCTGGAGCACCAAAAAGCCCTCCTTGCTAGCAGCTACCTCCAGGACAATAAAAAACATTTTATCAAATTTAAGAAAAAAAAGATGAATACCTCCTTCTGTGTTCTGCTTTGAGGTGAGAAAGGTATTTTGGAACCAGATTCACTTGCACTGGATTTATCTGTACTGGATTCAACAGCATCGCTAGACACATATGGGCTGTTCTCAAGGATCCACAATGTTTCTGGAAAAATATCTTCTTTGATGATAAGATTCTCTTCTAAATCTAACAGCTCTTGAAAAGACAACTCATTCTCAGTGCTAGATTTCTCATTCAAGGATAACATACTCTTGAAGAGAAATGGTGCATTTATAGTAGATTTCTTCTGCAAGGCTAATGGTTTCTGGAAGAGCACTTTATCCTCAATGTTGGACTTCTCCTGAAGTGCTAATGGCTCTTTGAGGATAGCCTCCTTCTCAGTGCTGCGCTTCTCCTGCAAGGTCAAGGGCTCCTTTAGTGCAGTTTCCATCTCAGTGTTGGGCTTCTCCTGCAAGGCCAAAAGCTCTTTCAGCATAGCCTCAGACTCAAGGCCAGCTTTCTTCTGTAAGGCCAAAGGCTTTTTGAATATGGCTTCCTCCTCAACAGTAGGCTTTTCCTGCAAGTTCACAGGCTCCTGAAAGTTGGGCTTTTTCTCAATGCTGGGTTTCTCTTGCATGTCCAAATGTTGATTGAAGTGAGCCTCTATGTCAATGGTGTGCTTCTTAAAAACAGTCTCCTTTTGAGTGCCAAGCTTTTCCTGCATGGTCAAGGGCTCCTTGAAGAGGACCTTTGGAGTGCCAAGCTTTTCCTGCATGGTCAAGGGCTCCTTGAAGAGGACCTTTTCACTGCCCACGGACTCCTGCAAGACCAGTGGCTCTTTAATAAGGTTCCCTTCATCATTGGTGATTTTCTCATGCAAAGCTAATTTTTCCTTTAAAAGAAATGCCTGCTCCTGAGCAGTGAGCTTGTTCTTTATAGGTAATTGCCTCCCTGTGCTTGCTGCTGCCTCAGCACAGGGCTCTTTTGTCAAAACTGAGAGATTACTGAAAAAGGACTCTTCCGTCATGGTGCTCTTATGCAAAACCAAAGTCTTCTTTTTGGTATTAGTCTTCTCTTGCAAGACCACAGCCTTCTGGAAATGGGATTCATCTTTGTTGATAGGCTTAACATGCAAAGAAAATGGCTCCTGCAAGAGGAACTCTTCCTCAACGATAGGCTTCTCCTTCAAAGTCACTGGTTTCTTATTATAAGACTCTTCTTCAGTAGTGGTCTTCTCCTGCAAGGCTACTGGCTTTCTTGAGAGTGACACCTGAAAAATAGTATGTTTCTCTTTAGATGCAGATCGCTCCTGGGAGAGGAACTCCTCTTCAGTTGTAGGCTTCTTCTTAAAAGGCAACAGCTTCTCACAGAGTGACTCTTCTTCAGAAGTAGTCTTCCTCTGAGTGGTTTGCTTTTTCAAAGATGATGGCATCTTGGTGAGGACTGCGTTCTCAGGTGTATGCTTTTCTGTAGATGATACTGGCTTCAGAAAGAAAGAATTCTTATCTTTAACAACTATATCCTGCCAGTCTGAAAGATCTATCCTGGGGGGTGTTGCTTGAGTGGTGCACTTTTTCTTCTTTAAGGACAGTGGCTCCTTGGGTGACTTTTCTTCAGAGGTGACTGTCTGCAATACTAATGGCTTTTTCATATGAGACACTGTCCCTTGAGTGGTATGCTCCTGCTTCTTTAAAGATAAAGGTTTCTTGCTGGGGGTTGCCTTCTCAGTGTTATGCTGCTTTTGAAAAGCCAAAGACTCCCGAAAAAGTGACTGTGCCTTCTTAGCACGAGATTGTTGTAGGGACCTAGGCACCCGCACAGTGATCATCTTCTCCTCTGGGCTACCCTTCTCTTCGAATGAAGATGGCTCCTGGGAAAGGGAATCCTCGTCACTGCTAAACTTCTCAAAGAACAATGGCTCCTCAATGAGTGAATTATCTCTATTGGTGTTCCTCTGAATTTTCTGCTTCTTTTTTAAAGGTAATGGCTTCTTTGTGTGGCTTGCCTCCATGGTAGTTTGCTGTTTGTTATAAGAAACTACATCAGTACCAAAGCTAGCTTCGTAATCGATAATCTCAAACAATGTCCACGGCTCCTCCAAGAGGTCTATCTCTTCTTGAGTAGTATGCTTCTCCTGTGATGCAGATGGCTCTTGGTAGAATTCAGTGATAGGATTTCTTTTAAAGGAAGATGGCTTTGGACTGAGTGACTCCTCCCCAGAGATAACGCCCTGTACTTCTACTGGCTTCTTTAAGTGGGACGGCATCCCACAAGTAGTGCACCTCCTTTGAATTGTGCATTCTGTCCTTCCAAAAACTGGGCTTGGGGTAAAGGTTAGCTCCTCCATAGTAGGCGACTGCTTAAAAGTCGGTAATTCCTCAAAAAGGGATTCGTCTTCAAAGTCAGTCTCCTCCAGCAAGGTCAATTTCTTCCAGATGGAAATGTCTTGCTTAGTATTGTGTTTCTCTTTTAGTGCAGATGGCTCACAAGAAAGGGACTCCTTGTCAGCAGTAGGCTTTCTCATAAAGGCTGATGGCTCCTTAGTAACTAATTTATTCTCAGTGGTGATCTTCTGCAATTTTACTGGCTTTATCGTTCTGGAGATCTTCTCCACAGTGGTACACTTACCACTTAAAGATAATGGATTTTTAGTGGGGGGTGATTTCTCAGTTTTAGGCTTCTTCTTTAAATTCATGAGCTCCACAGAGAAGGAATCCTCATCAACATTGCTGTCCTGCAAGGTCACCACGTCTTCCAAGCAAGACTGTTTCCCCGGATATGTGCATATATTCTTTAAGGATAATGTCTTCTTAGTGATGGCTGCCTCCTTGGATTTATGCTTCTTTCCAGAAGTCACTGGCTGTATAATAAAGTCATCATCACTGTCAGTATCCTCCTGTAACAATAGTGAATTCTCCAATAGGCATGTTTCCCCAGGAATTGTACGCTTCTTTAATGACATCGTTTGGAGGGTTGTCACTTCAGTACTGGGTTCCTCTATTAAAAGTAATGGTTTTTTGGCAAAAGATACCTCCTTAGTAGTAGGTGTTTTGGAGTTCGTGGATACATTCAGAAGGAGCGATTTCTCCAAAACATTTGGTACTGAGGGAGTAGAGGCTACTACTGATGAGACCTCCAACTTATATCTGTAAAGGAAATAAGGTCTGGGTAAGAAAAATGTATTTCCTAGAGTCCTTACCAACCATCTGATTTTATGACTACATTTACCAAAGGTATGGAAGGGAAAAGAGGTTCAACCCAAGAGACAGGGTAGAGGGTACAAAGATGTTTCTATGCCTAGGTCTCTATACTTTTCTACAATTTTCTCCTGAAATCAATGTTTTGTTTGTTTGTTTGTTACCAGGGATGGAACTCGGGTCCTTGTTCTTGGGAGGCAGGCAGCAGCACCACTGAGCTAAATCCCCAGCCCTCCTGAAATCTATGTTATATTGTCTACATATGATTAATTACCTTTATTTATATATGAGGGCTTTTAATATAAAACTTATCATAAATGTATATATTAACAATTTATGTATGGTTCCCTCATCACTTGCATTTGTCTTTCTCAACACTAGGCATCTGGTAAAATGAAGATTGAAATTAATATTGTTTGAAGGCTAATGAGAAAGGCTGATTAGTAATTAACACCTTGGGCTACTTAGGAGACAATTTCAAAATGAAAGTCATAAAAAAATCAAAATAGAAATTTGTTGCTTATCAGATACAATGTTTTGTCTTAAATAGGATTTTATGACCACAGTGACTAATCTAGTGTGACCAAATCACTGGAAGACTAGCAATCAGATTAAAAGAAAATAGAAGGAAAATAAAATCACCAATCTGAACAAAAGGAGTTAAGTACCTCCAAAGACCAGGTATCTATGATCCAATTTACGTAAAACATGCAGGATATACACATTCCTATTATTATTGATCAATAACAAAAGTAGATTCGTAGTTACCTGAGGCTGAGATAGGGTAGGGGAGAAAAGGGACTGAGAAAGGAAATGGATTCCTAATAGTGCAGATAAGGGTTTCTTTTGAGGGTGTTGAAAAATTCTAAAATTAGATAGTGATGATGGCTGTACAACTCTAGGAATATAACAAAAAACAATGAATTGTAAAAATTAATTAAAATAAAAAGTGTTTCAAAAGTTGTGTTTGACAACACAGGTTCCAAGACCTTCCTGATGAGATGATCTTCAGACAGAGTTATCATAACAACAGGCATTCTGTTTGGCATTACACTGCCTGGATTCAAATCATAGCTCTTCCACTTACCACATAGGTAACCTGGGGCAAGTTAACTCTCTGCTTCTATGTTTCTATCTATAAAATGGGGATTATAATAATATCTTCTCATAGGCTTGTTGTAAAGATCTGACAAATTTTTATGATTAAATAAAGGAATCTTGTTAATTATGTGCCAATGAATTAGATGATTTTGATGAAATGGACAAATTCCTAGGAAGAAACAAATTACTAAAACTTATTCAAAGAGAAAATTAAAAATCCAAATAGATCTATAACAAAAATGTTGAATTATAAACAAAAGACTAACAACAAACAAAAATCCAGGCTCAAATGGTTTTATTGGTGAATTCTACCAAATATTGAACAAATTAATACCAATTCTTCATGAACTCTCCCAGGAAATAAAAATGTTAGGGACAGTTTCCAACTCACTTTTTAAGGGCGGTATTATCCTGACACCAAAACAATAAAGAAATCATAAGAAAACTATAGACTAGTAATTCTTAAGAATATTTATGCAAAAATTCAACAAAATACTAGCAAATCAAATCCAGCAACATATAAAAGGAGTATGCAGCATAACCAAGTGAGTTTTATTCCAGTTATGCAATGTTAATTTAACACCCTAAACTCAACTCATGTACTATACTTATATTGATGGAATACAAAAAAGCCACATAATCATTATCAATAGATCCAGAAATACCATGTGACAAAATCCAACATTTTTTTCATGATATAAAGCACTCAACAAACTAGGAATAGAAAGAGGATTCCTCAGCATGATAAAGGACATCTATCGAAAAGGTGCACAGGGGAAGGGGAAGTTGGAGGGAGAGGGGAAAAGATTGGAATGGAATTAATATGAAAAAAAGAAAAACGGAAACAAAATCTTTGCAGGTAGGGAGAGGTGAAGGGGTGGAAGGGAGGGCAGGGGGATGGGAGAAAAATAACAATCGAGATGGATTATGTAAAGATGCAAATTTCCAATGGTGAATGTCATTACACTGTATACCTTAAATGTACTAATAAAATTAACTCATTAACAAAAGGGCATCTATGAAAAACCCAAGGTAACATCATAATAGTGACAGGATTATGCCTTCCCTCTAAGATCAAGAAAAGTTCTATCTAGGGCAATTGGGCAAGAATATTAGATAAAAGGCATCCATTCTGGAAATAAATAAAAGTATCTGCATTCACAGATGACATACATAGAGAAAACATTAAGGATTCCACACAAAAACTACCAAAATTAATAAATTCACAAGACCCAACAATACAAGGTCAATACACAATAATCAAATGTGTTTCTATGTCTTGTAATTAACAATTTAAAAAGATTAAGAAAACAATTTCATTCATAATAATGTCAAGAATAAAGTGTTTAGAAACAAATTTAACAAAAAGTATAAAAAGTATAACCTGAAATGTTTGGAAAATTAAATTAAATATCTAAATAAATACAAAGACATTGAATATGCATGAATTGAAAGACTTGGTATTGGTAAGATGGCAATATTTTCCAAGTTGATTTATAGATTCAAAGCAATTTCTACAAGAATCCAAGCTGACTTATTTATACAACTTTACAAACTGATTCTGTAACTCATGAGGAATTGCAAGGAACCCAGAAGAGCAAAATAATCTTTAAAAAGAAAACAAGATTTGGAGGGCCACATTTCCCGATTTCAAAATACACTACAAAGCTACCATAATCATGACAGTGTGGTACTGGCATAAGATAGGTAATGATAAACATAATAGATAGATCAAAGGAATAAAATTGAGAATCCAGACATAAATCCTAACATTTACAGTGAATTTTTGATAAGGATGTCAAGATAATTAAAGGGAAAAGATTAGTATTCTTAACAAAAGTGCTCAGGAAACAATGAAATTAGACCTCCTAATAACCAACAAGAAAAATTAACTCAAACTAGATAAAAAACCTAAATTAAGATCTGACATTTTATAGTTCTTAGAAGAAAGCAGATATGATTCTGTGACCTAGGATTTGACAGTGGTTTCTTAAATATGATATCACAAGCCTAAAAGCAACAAAAAATTAGATTTTATCAAAGTTTAAGACCTTGTGGTTCAAAGTATATCATGAACAAAATAAAAATACAACCCACAGAAGGGAAGAAAATACTTGCAACTCATATCTAATGGTGCCTTTCATCTAGAATATATGAAGAACTCTTAGAACCTAATGATGCAAACAATAATAACTGTTTTAAATAGCAAAGAATCTGAATAGATATGTATTTTTCCAAGGAACATATAGTACAGCCACTGTGGAATACAGCATGGCAGTTCCTCAGTGTGTTCAACATAGAATTACCACATGACTACACTCCTTGGTATAAATGGAAAAAAGTTAAAGTAATGTTCAAACAAAAACATATACACAAATGGTCATAGCAGTACCACTGACAATAACCAAAATGTAGAAGCATCTTAACTCTATCAACTGATGAAAGGATAAACATATGATTATATCTATACAATGGAATATTTTTGACAATCTTAAAAAATGAATACAATGCCTGTTACAAGGTGTAGGAAACGTGAAAACATTATAAGACAAAGACAACATAAAAACCCACACATTATGTAACATCATTTATATGACACATCCAAAATAAGGAAATCTTTACAGAGACAGAAAGTAGATTAGCAGTTGCTTAGAGCTGAAAAGGATGGGGAGATTGAAAGGTGATAGCTAAAGGCTTTGTTCAGGGTTGGTGAAAATATTATAAAATTGGGGTGGCTGCACAACAGTGAATTTACTAAAAGTCACTGAATTGTATACTTTAAATACATGAATTATATGGTGTATGAGTTATATCTCAATAAAAGTTGTTAATAAAAATATACAAGAATTAAATGGTGAAAAACTGAAAACCTTCACACTAAAATCAGGAACAAGACAAAGATGTCCACTATCACCACTTCTGTTTAATATAGTTTTGGAAACATTATCCATAAGAAATAAAAGCAATAAAGATAGAAAAGGAAGAAGTTAAACTGTTGCTATTTGCTAATGATACGATACTCTATATAGAAGATGCAAAAAACTCCACCAAATGACTTCTAGACTTAATCGACAGATTCAGCAGAGTAGTTGGATACAAGGTCAACACTCAAAAATCAATAGCCTTCTTGTACACAAATAACAGAATCACTGAGAGAGAAATCAGAGAAACAATCCCTTTCACAATAGCATCAAAAAAATGACATATCTAGGAATCAATCAAACGAAGGAAGCAAAAGACCTCTACATGGAAAACTACAACACTCTGAAAAAAAGAGATTGAAAAGGACATAGAAAATGGAAAGACATCCCTTGTTCCTGTGTAGTAAGAACCAATACAGTGAAAATGGCCATACTTCCAAAACTGCTATACAGATTCAACACAACTCTGAAATCTCAACAGTATGTTTCACAGAAATTGAGAAAACAATCCAAAAATTCATTTGGAACCAGAAGAGACCTAGAATAGCAAAAACCATTCTAGGCAACAGAGACATGGCAGGGGGTATCACAATCCTCAACTTGAAACTATACTACAAAGCCACTGTAATAAAAACAGCATGGTATGGGAAGGAAACAGACCCAAGAATTAATGGAATAGATTGGAAGATGCAGATACAACTCCAGACATACTCAGCTACCTTATCTTTGACAAAGGAGTCAACAGTCCTCACTGGAGGAAAGATAGCCTCTTTAATAAATGGTGTTGGAAAAATTGACATTCAACTTGCCAAAGATTAAAACTAGACTCCTATCTTTCACCATGCACTAAACTAAAATCCAAGTGTATTAAAGATCTAAATATTAAAACAGAAACACTAAACTCACTGGAAGATAAGTTAGGTAGAACTCTTGAAAACATTGGCATAGAAAAAAAACTTTATGAACAAATCTTCAGTAGCACGGGAGCTAGCACAATCAACAACTAGGAACTCATCTTTTTGAAAAGCTTCTGCACTGCAAGAGAAACCACCAACAGAGCTAAGACACAATCTACAATGTGGGAAAAATTTTTACCAGCTGTTCCTCAGACAAAGGTCTACTATCCAGAATATGTAAAGAACTAAAAAAAAAAAAAAATCAGACACCCCCCCCAATTTATAAATCCAATTCAAAAATGGGCATCTGAAATGAACAGACATTTCTCAAACAAAGAAGTAAAAGCAGCAAATAAACATATGAAAAAATGTTCAACATCACTGGTCATTCGAGAGATGCAGGTGAAAACAATACTGAGATTGCATCTCACCCTAGAAAGAATGGCTGCTATCAAGACCAACCAACAACAAATGTTGGTGAGGTTGTTGGGAAAAAGAAACCCTTCTTCATTTTTGGTGGCAGTGCAGACTGGTGCAGACACTGTGAAAATCAATATGGAGATACCTCAAATAACTAGGATTAGAGGTCCCATTTGACCCTAACTATTCCCCTGCTGGCTATCTTCACAAAAGAATTAAAAGAATCATACCACAGTGATATATGCTCAGCCATGTTTATAGCAGCACAGTTTGTAATAGCTAAAACTTGGAAACAGCCTAATTCCCTATCAACTGGAGACTGGATAAAGAAGATGTGGGTTTTTTTTTAATAAAATGGAGTACTACTCAGCCATAAGGAATTAGAAACCAGAGACATTTATAGCTAAATGGATGCACATTGAGGCCACACTCTTAAGTGAAATTAATAGGACACAAATGTGTAAATACCAAATAGTTTCTCTGGTGTGATAAACTAAAAATGTAAATAAGAATCAAAATGTATAATTAATACTGTGTAATAGGAAAAAATGTCTAAAGGTGTAGGGTAAGTGGGAGGGGTAGGGGAAAGCTGAGAAGGGAAAAGAAAAAAGATAAAAGGAAAGAAATGGAAACAAAGACTCTATAAATAGGGAAGAGTGGAAGGGGTAAAGGGAGGGCAGGGGAATGGGAAAAAAGGTACCTATAAAGGTACAAGTTCCCAATGATGAATGTAACTGTATTGTATACCTAAAATGGACCAATAAAGAAAAAAGGGAAAAAAACTTACAAGATTATTTGTGTGATTATAATGAAAACTCAATAAAAATACATATTACTAGTTCTAGTACTATTATTAGGACTCATTCCAATGAACCCTAAACAAGGGAAGAATGTTCACGGCATCAGTAAGGGCTTCCTTGCCAAAGTCAGAAGAATTAAAGAACACACATGTGTAAATACCAAATAGTTTCTCTGGTGTAAAAAACTGTAATAGTACATAAGATCCTAATGAGATAATTGACAATGTGAAATAGGAAGAAAAAGGCTAAAGGTATAAGGAAAGTGGGAAGGGTAGGGGAAAGGTAATAAGGGAAAAGAAAAAAATATGAGAAAATGAAAAAATGGAAATAAAGTGTTTATAAACGGGGAGGGGAAGAGGGGGTGAAGGGAGGGCAGGGACAAGGGGAAAAAATGAGGACCAAGACCTGTCATGTAAAGATACAAGATTTCAATAATGAATAAAACAGTACTATATACCTAAAATGTACCAATAAACTCAATTTAAAAAAGGAAGAATTAAAGAAATTCAAAAGAAAATAATGCAAGGAACTAAGGTCAAATATGTATGTAAACCCCAGGAATTCCATTTCAGCAAGAAACCCAGTAGGGAAAAAATGCTGATCTTCTTGTTTGATTAGTTTCTGCTGGGTAATAAGCGAAGTGTTCAGTCAACCTTACAGGTTAATTTTCTAGACTTCCCAACCTTTTTACTTTACTCATTGGAACCCAAGTTTGGCCTTGTTATAGTCATCTACTTAATCTATTCAAATGCAAGTTGGTCAGTCCCTGAAGAAATAATTTCCACTAGAAAAAGGAGAGAATATAAGAAGGACTTAATCTACTTTAAGACTTCTTCCAGTAAAAGTTTTCCAGAGGTAAATTATTTTTCCATTTCTAGATGAAAATGTCCATCTCCCAAAGCTTTTAATGGGATAAGCATACTGGTAAACTATCAGCCAGCTGATGAGAGTCCCTGAAGAGAAGTTGCCTCCACACTCCCATACACAAACTAGTCCAGAGACTAAATTACTTAACAGAGAAAAGATGAACATATGATCTTTTGGTAAATTCCTCAATGAGAACAGATCTTTTAACGTGTTCATGTGCATCAGTGTGCATACACACATACCACAACCACCACCATGCAAGAAGAGAGAAAAGAGGCCTATAACTCTAGCAACCATACCTAGGCTCATTTCTGCACACAAAGTTAATGTGGTAGTCACCACTGTAGCTCACTAAGCATGTTCTTAATGGGGCCAAAAAGGATGTCACATACTCTCTATTCCCATCTAACACAATACAATCTAAGTACCCTCTTACTTTTTTGTCTTCCTTTCAGTACATCGGCCCAATTCAAGAGAATGTTTGCTTCTGTTAATTGTCTTGGGAACATCTTTTTCAAACTCCTTGTTGTCTTCCTTCTTAGACTGGACAGGTTGATATTGAAAAGCCTACAAAAAAAAAAAGCAGAGAAAAAGGCAGGAAATTATCCAGTGAGTTGTTCTCATAAGAAAGTCCTTAGCACCAGTTGCATTGTCCCTACTCTAGGTGCATCAGAGTCTCCACCCTGCATTTTGCTAGAGTCCTGGGAACAGTCCCTGTCTCACACAGTGGGCCAGTCTTCTGCCAGGTTGGCAGAAAGGGTTAGTTTCTACTTATTTCACCTGATGCTCTAAACACCCATGAGACACTACCCAGCCCTCTGCACCCTCGCTGAGCCTGCTAGAATCTCTCTACATTTCCACTGGATGTACAAAAAGCAACACGAGCCTCCACCTGGTGTCTAGAGCTGGTCCCATGGATACCAGAAGATACATAAGGTACCCAGTGTTGGCCTCCAATTAGCAGGAATCCACACCAGGAGCGTCAGATCCAATGCTTCACACTTTCCTAGGCTGATGCTCTAGTGTGAACAGTTGCTACAAAGGTTCACAGACAGGGGACTCACTGAAGTGACAAATCTCCACACAAACCCAAACTACAAAGGAGGGCAAAGAGAACTGTGACTTGTAAGATTAAAGATTGCAAGCTCCAGAAGAAAACACTCTTCTGGAAACATGTAGGGATTTTTTTTCTCTTCTCTCTACATTTAACCCAATTTTCTTTTTTTCTCCTCTACTGGTATTTTGGGGATATTATTATTATTATCATCATCATTATTATTATTTTACTATGGGTGGAGCATGGAGCTGTATCACTCATTTTCTTGTCCCACCCTTTTAAATATAATTTTATTTTTGTTTGAATAAGTCCTCCCTTTTTTCCATCTCTCTTTTCTCCCTCTCTTTCAACCTGTTTTCTGAGTATTTCTTTTTTGGGGGAGTACTGGGGATCAAACTCAGGACCTTGCACTTGTGAGGCAGGCAGTGGAACCACTGAGCTAAATCACCAGCCCCTTCTGAGTAATTCTTACTTTCTCTTACTCTAATTTAATCTTCATTCCCTATTGTTTATCTGAATATACTTTGTTTTTTCTGTTTCTGTTATCTAACACTACTAATTTTCCTTTACTCCTTAATAGGACATTTCACATTAATCTTACCACCTTCCTCCTGTGTTCCATTGTTTAATTTCTAATAACCTATTTCTTCATGCTTCAATACCCATACCATTTATCCTTAAGAATTTTTAGGTAGTTAAGTATATCTTACTAAGGCTGAATACTGTTCTATTTTGAAAGGAGGTAAAACTGCTCCATTGAGTAGATATTTACTGTATATAAATACCTGGGTTGTCTTAGAGTTTGTTCTATAACAATAGATCTTGTTTTTATGGTTAAAGGTTGTACAGCGTAGGCTCTTAAGAGTTTGTCATTATTGAGTTGGTACTTGATATTCTTTATACTGTTGACTGTAACACTTTAGCCAATTGGACATAGTTATTGCAATCAATTGGTATTCCATGTATGCCAATATCCACATGGTATGGGGGTCATAAACAATACTGCAATCCATTACAAAAGAATTGGGTACTAGGCCAAACAAGCTGCAACCTTTGCTCCCTAGCAAACGAAGGTGGTAGGATTCTGGGAGAGATCCAAAGGCTGATAGTTAAGTAAGCCTAAAGGACATCTCTGAGAAGTTTATGCTGTTATAACAAAAAGCAATTCTCTCTGCAAAATATGGGAATAGAGACCCAATTACTCAAAGTAAATAGTATAAGGAGTAAATAGTATCATTGGACATACAAAGCTAAAAAGACTTCACGAGGAAGCAACATCTTAGTAAAATTCTTCATATAAACCACAAGTTCCCCTCACTCTACTAGACCTCAAACTTCAGTATCCCTGCAAAAAAGGAGAAAAAGAGGGCTACATAGATAGATGGATAGTGATAAGGATATCGATATAGATATCGTAACATAACATAACATAGATACTCATAGGAACATGGGGAAGCAAGGCAACAGAAGATCCCTGAGGTCTCCCAACTCTCCTAAGGTAACAAAGAAAAAGGAAAGTAAATATCAGATAGCAGAACTCTATGAAAAATGTATAAAAGAGATGAAGAAACTAGATGATTTAAAAAAGGAAATGAACCAGAAGTTCACATTAGTATCACTCAATACGCTCACAGTGAATTCAGGGGAGGTAAGTAAAACCTGGACAAGCTAACCAAAACAGTTCAAAATTTGACAGATTCACCAAGGATACAGAATCCTCAAAAATATGTCAGACAATAATAGCTGAAGTAAAAAACTGACAGAGTTCACAACTTGCAGAAATGACCAATGTGAAGACTGCACCCAAAATTAAGGAGAAGATAGTGAATTATGCTGACGTACTCAAAGAAACCACAAAGAGAATCAGAAAAAAAGAGATTATCCAGAAGCTACTAGATGACAATCAAAAGACTAAGTGGAGTTAGGGAAAAGCTAGAAGATTACACAGATGGATTTGCTAACATGTTTTACAGAAATTATAGAAGAAAAGTTCCCAAATATGAAAAAGGAGTTTAAAATACAAGTGACACTTATAAAACACCAAACAAATATGATGAAAAAAAGCTCACCAAGACATATCCTTACTAAAATATCAGATATCCAGAAGAAAAAAACAAAATTTTAAACACAGTAAGAGCAAAATTTAAAAAATCACATATAAAGGTAAACCAATTAGAATTATAGGAGACTCAACACAAAACTTAAAGGCCAGAAGAGCTTGGAGTGAAGTATTTCAAGCCCCAAGGGCAAATAATTTCCAACCAAGATTAATTTATCCAGCAAAGCAATCCTTCAAAACAGATTGGATGAGATATTTCCTCATAAACAAGGTATTCCAATAAACAAGGTATTTCCATGAAAAAGACCAACTCAAAAGATATATGAGTGCTAACCATCACTGCACAAAATACTTAAGAGGATTCTTGATGGAAACAACTAAACCAACAGCTAAAAACCCACAGCAAATAAAAACTCCAAGTAAGATCAATGGATAAACAACAACAAAAAAAAAGTCCAGAAAAGAAAAATAAATGAGTCACCAACAGAAAAAGAAGGTAATCTTAGTAAATAATCAATATACCTCAGTAATATATCTCAAAGTTAATGGCTTCAACGCTCCAATTGAAAGACACAGATTGACAGACTGGAACAAAAACCAGAATCCAACAATCTATTGCATGCAAGAAATTAATCTAATCCAAAAATATATTCATAGATTAAAAATTAAGGGTTAGAAAACAATAATTGATGTTCCAGGATGCTGAAAAAGCATGAGTAGCAATTTTGAACTCAGATATGGTAAACTTCAAGCTAAAACAGGCTAAAAGAAACAAAGAAGATCACTAGATACAAAAATCCAACAAGAAGAGATAATACTCGGGGTATGGGGAAAAAATGAGAACCAAGATCTGTCACATAAAGGTACACTGATGAATGTGACTGTACTATATACATAAAATGTACCAATAAACTCAATGAGAGAAAAAAGAAGAGATAATACTGATAAATATTTATGCACCAAATACTGCACCTATCTTCATAAAACAAAAACTGCTAAAAATGATCAAATCATAAATATATATGCACCAAACACTAGTGCACCTAACTATATAAATCAAATACTAACAGACATGAAAAAGCAAATCAGCACTAATACAATAGTAGTGGTGAACCTAAATACTGCACTGTCACAAATAGATCAACTAGACAAAAAATGAACAACAGAACACTAGGGCTCAATCAAAATCTTGAAACAATGAACTTAACAGATGTTTAGAGTGTTCCACTCCACAAAATCAGAATACACATTCTTTTCAGCTGCACATGGGTCATTCTCCAAAAAAGACCACATGCTCATTCATAGAACATGTTTAAGTAAATTCAAAGGAACTGAAATTATCCACTATACATTATCAGATGATAGTGCAATAAAACTGGAGATCAATAGAAAAAGAAACCATAAACACATGGAAATTGAACAAAAAACTTCTGAAAAACCAATAGGTCACAAGGTAAATTTAAGGAAAAATCAGACAGTTTGTACAATTAAATGGCAATGCCAGTACAACATATTGGAATCTATGGGACACAATGAAAGCAGTTTTAAGAGGGAAATTCATAGCTGTGAATACTCATATTAGGTAAACACAGCAAACTCAATTGTACAACCTAATTCTGAGCATCAAGCTGCTATTAAGAAAAAGAGCAAGACAACCCAAAGCTCATACAAGGGAGGAAATTACAAAGATCAAAGAAGAAATCAATTTTCTTCAGAGACTAAGAGAACAATAAAAAAATCAATGAAGCAAAGAGTTAGTTCTTCAAAAGAACAAGCAAATTTGAAAAACCTGTACCCAAGCTCATAAAAAAAGAAAGAAAAGGCCTAAATCCATGCAATTAGGAATGAAAATGGTGAAATTACAATGAACCCAGCAGAAATCCAGTGGATCATCAACACCTACTTTAAGAATCTATAGGCCAATAAGATGGAAAATACAGAAGAAATGGACAGATTCCTAAATACGCATGAATTACCAAAGGTGAATAAAGATGACCTAAAAATTCTAAATGACCTGATATCAATCAATGAAACTGAAAATGTAATTAAAAACATACAAACTAAGAAAAGCCTGGACCCTGATGGCTTCACTGATGAATTATACAAGACATTTAGAGAGCAACTATTATGACTACTGTTGAAACTCTTCAATGAAATTGAAAGGGAAGCAGTACTCTCAAATTCATTCCTAGAAGCAAGCATCACCCTGATCCCCAAAGCAGACAAAGACCCAACCCAAAAAGAGAACTATAGGACAATTTCACTAATGAACACAAATGAAAAATCCTTTTTAAGATACTGCCAAATAGAATGAAGATCATCGAGAAGATCAAACACCCTGATCGAGTCAGATTCATCCAAGAGATGGAGAAATGGTTTGATATATGCAAATCAATAAATGCAATACACTATATTAAGAAGAAAGGACAAAAACCATGTGATCATCTCAAT